GGTAACTTGATTTCCTGTCAGACAAGGAGATTCTTATGCCCATGTGTTCTCAAGTGAATGGATTTAGAGTTTATTTTTGAAGTTGAAGGTAACTGTTTTGCCATAAGAGGGTGGTGTTATATTAAATGTGATAGCTGGTCATTTGGACCTCAAAAAAGGTAAAGCACCGAATTCTTCCACTGTATGTCACAAATTTGAGGCTATCAAGTTATGCCAAATTTGCTGGAGCAGGAAGAGGCAGCTTTCAGACTGCCTGCCCGTTTTGGAAGCAGTCTCATTGCACTTTGAGAGCCTTTGTAAGACACAGGCTGCTCCTGCCCTTCCTGGACTGTCATTAGTGTCCTGCATGCTGCTGCTTCATACTGGTAAGGGAAATTTTATATTGCAGAATTTCTAAAACGGGCTGGATAATTGCTTCCTAAATCTAGTCCAGTGGCTGCCATGGATCCTCCCAGCTTACTTGCCCTGTGTACCCTCTGACAAGGTGGGGTGCTGGACAGTTTGACTGGCAGAGTCGCTTTTTTGTCTGAACCTCTGCACTTGTTAGGAGTTGGAACAGACCTTGCAGCAGCAGTGAAAGTCTTCAGTACCAAAATAGCTGGTCTTGCTCTCAGTGACACTGACCTCTCCCTGGGAATGTTTAGAGAGGGCAGATGGGCAGAGAGAAGAGGAAAAAGAGAAGCCTCTGTTTCTTTAAGCAAGTCTCATATCTGCATAGTCCCTCTTTTGGACCACCTTGGAAAAATTGCTCATTCCCCAAGCCTTATGATGACCTGGATCTGTGACCTCACCAGTTGGGTCTGGTGGGTCTAGAGACACTTGCTGAGGGACGATCCCCTGGGAGCAGGGATGTCATCCCTCACAGGTGATGGTGAAACCCTTGACTGATGCCTTTCTGTGGTTCCCTTTAGGGAATACAAGCAGTGCATTTCAGTACTGTTTAGGGGCAGGAGGAAATGGATTTGAAACTGCTGGGCCCAGTCTGAAGAAAATGAGTTAAGGTTTTACTAAATACATTTGGCCTTACTTCCTGACTGAAGTACTGAGTGTCACTGGTCAGCATTGTTAGATTGGTCATTTCCAGAGAAATTACAAGAAATGAGGTTAAGTTGCTATGTAACGCTGTAGCTGGAAGTGCAGTATATGTGTATTTGTCCAAATCAGGGTTTCAACTAATGTAGTCTGAAATCACTTGAAAATAAAACTTACATCACTGTGAGCCAATATGTTAAACATACAAATATGTGACACATAATTTTTTCTTAAGCTTCATGTAGGTGCTTCTTCCCAGAAAATAAAAATAACTGGTTTTCCTTTTTAGCCAAGGATAATTTTGATTTTTAGGAAGAGTTTTATCCATATATATCAATAACTGTGATAGGAAGAAAAGTTGTATAGCATCAAATTAATATAAGAACAAAAATAATTTAAAATCAGCTGCTGTTGCTGCCTCTGCTTCTTGTTTTGTGATTTTTCTGTTCTTCATGTTACTGCTTTGTTTGTATGTGATATCCGAAAAGTTGCAACTTTCTTTGATAAGTGCATCTTAAATAACTTTTCTGTTTCACAGGAATCATTGCAATTGGACACATTAATGAAGCAGTTGACCAAGGAAATCCTGAGAAAACTCTAGAAGCCCTGCTATTGCCCACAGCCAAGCTGCAAGATGTGAGGCCAGTAAATGCAAGGCATTATCAGGATGTTTTGCACCATGCCAAAGCACAAAAATGCAAGGTTAGAATTTTTACTGTTGTTCTCTGTGAGAAGTGAAATGTCAATTCCTTTCACTTGCTTCTGTGTCCCTGTCCTAGTCTCCTGATGTTTGCATTGTCTTTGCCCAGTGAGACTATAAATAAACCAGTGAAAGCAAACTGGCACTAAGTAATTTTGCACTATAACTTATTCTTACTGGCAAAATGGATTAATTCTTAATCTATTAAAATTAAGGCATTTTCTGCATATGTCTTGCTATTGCTGTAATCTCATTTTAATTCTACTAGGTTGCTGCAGCTATTACAAAATACGGGCAGCAGCAATTCTCAGTTAGGAATTTGTACATGGATACAGTTACAGGACAGTGTCAGGCAGTATGGATGGAAAGTGAGGTTTTGCCAGAAAGAAGTCACAACTGTGGTGTTATTTATCAAATCTTTTGAAGTATTTTGAGGAGTCTCTTTTGCTTATGTTGTTTTATTATACTGGAGTTTTGTACATATTTTTTTTGCAGCTTTATCATGCAATTAAAAAAAAAAAACAAAAAGCTGCTGGTCTTGCACATGCCTTCAGTTTAAACTTATTTCAGTTGGATGTTGCTATCTGCTCCCCCAAAAGCAGTGGCCTGGTTAGCATTACAGCTCAGGGAAGCATAAACAAAGATCAGCCTAGCAGCTTGCAGGATATGACTGAAGGTTAGCTAAAGCTACTAGCACAGCACTTAAAATGCCCAGTGTCTGGAAATTAAAATTCACAATTAAAATTCACACAGTGTGTCCCTGAGGTAATGTGGTGAGCTAGGGAAAGTCTGCAAACTTTGGCTTGTAACGTGTCTTCCAGCATTTGTGTCACCCCACCCGGGGAACCTGCTGTGAAACCATGCTGTCAGAACTTTTGAAAGGTGTTTGCACAAATCAATTTCTCACCAGGGTTCCCAGGTAAGGGCTGGTTTCACTGAGCCCTCAGTGCTGAAAAACCTTCTCTCTCACCACGTGTGCTGAGGAGGGTTTTGTGCATTCTGACCTCACGTGTCCGGGATGGGCTGGGGTCAGTGTTTGTGCACAGTGCTGACCCAGGACATGCCATGGGAGCCAGGATGTCCCCAAGGCACAGATCTGCAGGACACAGCAGTCCTACCCTGGCTCGCTCCTGCCAGCTGCCCCAGTGCTCCCCAGATGCAAACCTGATGCCTACTCCTGTCCTGGTGTGAATGTGCTCATAGGAAACAAATGAGCGTTTCCAAATTCTGGCACAAAAATTGTACAATCTCTTTGAAGTTTTCTCATTATAAGATTTTTGATGTTCCTAGAGACTTCTGCTGGCTTTTCTCTTCTGAGCTATTTTGGTTTTGCAGTCTTTTGGCAACTACTTAGAGCACCTTCTCTGTGGACAGGAGTGCTGCTCCTGTTTCAGAAGAGAATAAGGCACAGTGCTCCCAAAAGAAACACTGAGATGCATACTTACTTTTAACAGAGATCAATCATAGATATGGCCATTCTTTAGGTAAAAATACGATTTAGACTGACATTTCCTTAAAAAAGAAATCCAAACACAATTGTAAAGGGAGTGCAATTTCTGAAGTCTGTCTATTTTCCACTTTTTCTGATCCCTCTTTATAAAGCAGATCTCAGAATTTGTGTTTAGCGTGTTTTAAGAGTGAGCTGTGGTAAAAGGAAGTATTTGATTTACAAGGATCAGATAGGTCTCCCTATACACTTCCTGCCCCAACATCTGGAAAAACATACGTGTCAAACCTACTCACTTATTCTAAGCAGCTTGGTGTCACTTCCCCATAGCTGTGGTGATGTGGGGGAGTCTGCACCCAAATCTGCCAGAACACATTGTCCTTATAATCTGAGGTTCTCATCTCAGATATGACCTATTTGTTCCTTGCTTGAAACCGAAAACACAAACCTGGAACTCATTTTGTCCTGTAAGTCTTAAACCACAGCTTTTAACAGTTCCGAAAGCCTTTTCAAGACAAATGTATTCAAAAGAGAGAAACTCTGTCTTAAGGGAGCATATTGTGGATAGCTGGAAAGCTAAACAGATGGACCAAATTACTATGTTTGGTTGTAGTGTTTTTTGTGTGATAGGTACAGAGGTTTTAGTTGGGTTCACCTCATTTATATTTTCAACAGTTGTGTAATATTTGAATTATTTTAGAATTTGTTCTTGTGCATGTTGAAGGAATGGCAGGATTAAAACTAACTTAAATTAAGAACCAGAAGAAATAGGAAAAGGGGAACCCTCACCAGGCTGCAAATTCCCTTGAGGCATTTTCCAGTACAACTCAGTTTATTTAAGTAACGCTTTTTTACAATACTGTTATCAAAACAACATAAAACATTTTTATCCCCACTTACATGCTGCAGTTACAAATTCAAATGACAACCACTGAGGTAATTTTCTAGGAACTTAGTATATAAGTAAGTTTTGAGTTTCTGTAAAGGTAAAAATTGACCCATTGTTTTACTAATAGTCAATGGTAGCGAGCAGTGTTTGTAACACTGTAGGTATTTCCTGTGAGGATGTGGAAATAGAGAAGACTACAAAATAGCTTTTCTGTTTTGCTTACCAAGCAAGAGTAATATATGCCTGGATTCACACTGATAAGGGTTAGCTCCCAGCAATCCCTGTGGCTTAGGGAAGTGCAGGCGCTGACAAAGTGGAAGAACAAGTCTCCAGTGCAGAGCTGGTTAAGCAGCTTCATGGGAGAGGTAGCCTTGGAAGAGTCAGGTTCTGCATCCACTGCTGTAGACTTACTGTTTTGTGAACCTATGGGGACTCTGTATTTCCAACATCCTGGGCAGTACTTGCTCTTGACTGCTCCCTGGCATGTACAAAGTGCTTGTTCCCATTTCCACTAGGCCAAAAACTCATTTTTGTAACACTGTTCCTGCAGTGATTGTTGGCTGAGAGCTAATTTCAAGTGTCATGAATTGCCCTAGAAGTGCTCTTTGGAGGCTGACTCCTCTTCTGGTATTTAGAAGCTGGGGTGCCTGATACTCTGGCAGCTTGTCCATGGCCAGAAAGCGATCTCAGAAGGAAATGGAGGTGCAGAGCTGCTTCCCTGAATCTAGGTACACAGGTGTTGCAACACATGTAATAAAGTTACAGAGCTGGAGAGTGAATTTTTGGAGATATTCCTTGTGTGGAAGGAAGTAAATTTAACTGAAATTGTGTTTTCTATCCCATTTTACTTGAAATATAAATGTCGCACCTGAGATTTATTGGTATCTGTGTTAGTACTGTACAAAACCATAATTCCAGTAATAGAAATAAATTCATTTTTCCCTGGATATTTTAACCATTGTCAGATAAATATTGGATTGACTTCTAATTTTTGACATCAGAAAATAAAGGAAAGGATCAAGACAGCTGTTTAGGCTGCTAAGACATAAAGCAATTAGATAAAAAGAATACAGCCTATCTGTGTTGTAATAGTAATAGTTGATGTGATGGATAATAAGGATAATATTGCTTGGCACAAAGCAAATAGCAAAGATGGTAAGAATCAAAAGACTGACTTTGACATACCAGAACCATTCGTGAGTCTTGAGTGTTCGTATAATCGAGACATAGCAGAATACGATAGTTGCGAGCGGTATTAAAAACCCAAATACAGCCAAGGACCCGTAGTAGTAGAACTGGAAGGAGGACACAGTTTCGCAGGCGCTGTGCACGTCGTGGCAGGTATAAATGTCCAGCTGCTTCACGTAATAGCTTTGCTGCATGATGGCGAGCGGGAGCATGTAGAGGAAGACGGCGGCCCAGACAGCGGCGCAGGCTGCGATGGCGTAGGCGCGCTTCGGGAGGCTCTTGTAGGTGAAGGGGTGGACGATGGCCAGGTAGCGGCTGACGCTGATGCATGTGAGCAGCAGAATGGAGCAGTACATGTTGCCATAAAACACCGCCGTGGCCGCCCGACACATGGTCTCCCCAAACACCCAGTTGTTGCCGTTGATGTGGTAGGCTATTTTGAAGGGCAGTATGATGCAGAAGAGCAGGTCTGAGACAGCCAGGTTTGTGTAGAGGATGGCGGTGCACACGGAGCGGATCCTGAAGAGTAACATCCACAGAATGATGGCATTAGACGGCACACCCAGTAACAGAGCACTGAGGTAGACAGCAGGTATTAGCTTGGTGCTCAGAGAGCTGGTGAGGTACTCCAGCGTGGTGTTGCTCACTTGTGTTAATGTGGAGTCATTTGGCTTTTTTGAAGTGCATTTGTTTTCTCTGATATGGATGGTTGTTGTTTCCCCCTCTATAGCATAAGGGGGGATGTAATCATAGTCTCTCGCCGAAATTCCCCGAAAAGTTTTGATAAGAGACACTGTTTTAATTGCAGAGCCATTCCATGAAAATTCTGAAGCTTAAAAATAAAACAAAGTGAAAATTGTTAAAAAGGACAAACTACTGTATTAACCATGTAACTCAGGAGCAGAGGAAGATAACCATCTCTACATGAAAAGCAATAGAAGTTTAAAATATTCTCCTCTGCTTTTGGCGTACAGACATCAGTCTTCATTTATCATTTCACACCAAATCTTGAAAATTCATCATTAATGTAGTGTAAGCTCATCTTTCTGCATTTTGAGTGTTTTCAGTAATCTTTGGTGAAAAACATAAGACACTTCTGTAATGCTTATGACCGGTGGAGGGTTTTTCCAGTAGTAGGAATGTTGGTCATTCATCATATAAGCAGTCTTTGTTTGGGCTTGATCAAACACCATTACTATCCTTGTCACTTCATGTAAGAAATTAATGACTGCAAAAGTTGCAAAAAACACTCTCTAGCCTAAGACAAAAGGAAACTGTCAGATTAGAAAACTGAAATTACCCTTGGTTTTTTGGTCTCACATGTGAAATTGTTTTTCTTCAGCTTCTGACTAGTGCACACCAGATCTTCTCAGGTTCTCATACCTGAGCAAGGGCAATGTCTCAAGAATTGAAAACAAATGGTTGGGCAAGTATTAGGTGTCATTTACTGGGGAGTGAATAAAACTTTTCAAGCAGCAGGAAAATTATCTCTGAGTAAATATTGTCAGCATGTGGGCAAAAGCAGTAATACTATTTTATTAACACCTGTTCGTCGGTCATTAGTTGAGAAATTTGTAGAGACATTGACATCTTCACATGAAGCACAAATGTGTTCAAAATGCTTTTTAAAGCCATGTGTTATAAAATAGATTTCGAGCAGTAAACAACTGTGCAAGTATTTGTGTCATTTAAGTTTTCTTAGCTGCATTTAATGCAAAAATACTTATTGTAAAACCTTCAGCATGCGCCATGAAACTGGAATTCAGAAGTAAACTGAAATATGGGTGAAAATCTTTCAACCTTTTTTTACCTTTCCATATTTGAATAAAATAAAGAGAATAGTTTTATTAATGTTCACTGTCAGATTTACAGTAGAATGTTTTAAAATAATAATTAGCAGGCTACATAATTTTCAGTAGCTTTTTTTAATCGTTACTCCAGAGAACTGGTTTTAATCACTCATTAAAAGTCATACATGTGCCTGCATTGTCTGGTGTGTGTGTAGATGGATAGATATAGGTATAAATACATGTATATATGTATATTATATATGTGTGTCTATATATATTTATGTATGCCAGCTTTTCAAAATGACCTTGGTTTGAAAACACTTTTAATTCTAGGAAGGTTTATTATTTGATCATTTCCTTTAGTTATTTTTATCACAATAGTCATCTGAGCGTTTCCTTCTAATAACACCATCTGTAAAGTTGTAGAACAAGACACTGCAGGTTTAAAATTATTGTATCGTTACAAAAATATTAGATAAAAGATGTGTCTTCAGTAAGTGCAGAAAGTCCCCTTAAGAAAATTCTTTCTAGGAAATGACTGGCAGAGGTAAGGTGTCACTGAAGTGAAAGAATAAAAATTTGCTTTAAAGGAGACATCCTGGAACAGTTTTTCATAATTGGTACATGCATGTACAACTCGTTTCATGTTCACAGCTGGTAGAGCAACAGCATTATCAAAAAGTCCATGTTATTGACTAAAAGATTAAATAGATACAGAAAGGAGCACTCACCTGTAGTGCAAAGACTGGAGGTAAAAGAGAGCAGTCCAGTGAAAAACAGTATCTTCATTGTAGTGTGTGAAATCCAGCCAGCTGAACAATGGTTCAGCTAGTTCATCTCAAGAGACGTTTTGTGGGGGCTTTTTTCCCCTCTGTGAGGGACTAAAGAATGATTGATCTGTCCTCCAGAAGCATCCTGTAAGCATGAGGTTTATGGTAAGGAACTAATTTGTTCTTTGTCTACTACAGCAAGAGGGTGTGACGTATCCAAATATGCACATATGACTCAGTTTCAGCCTCAGCCCAACACAGAGATAAAACTGCTTTACAGCAGCATTTTAACTCCTCATTTACCACAAGCCTGAAGCTGATATGCAGGGTTCTACTGACACTTGTGTATACAGATATTTGGAGTAAAAAGGTGTTTTCTGGAAAAATCAGGAGGTGTTTTCAGTAAATCCTCAAGGGTCTCATTCAGAGACCAAAATGTCACGTGGCTGAACTCTGTACTCTTCTCCAGAGAAAAGCTGAGCTTGCAGAAGAGTGTGATGATCTCAGTTTAGCAAAAGGCAAAGACGGAAAGAAGCCACATGTACAAAAATGCCTTAGGAAAACTGCCTTCTGCTTTGCCTTTTGCCTCCCTGCCCACTGTTAGCTGTCTGGCTCCTCCAATCCACCTACTTCCTCTTTTCAGACGATTTCCACCCCTCCACAGACTGCAGCCTCTAAAACCTTTCCCCTATTTTCATTTGCTGCTTTGTTGATCCCTTCCTTTTACTCTGCCTCCTCCCCACCACCACCCCCCCTTTTTTTTTCCCTTCAATGCCAAATTGCAACAGCTTGTTTCAGCAAGCAAAATTAGCCCAAGCCTTGGCCCAGCTTCCAGGCTAGTTGTGAGGCTCAGCATAAGTTGTACTTGTCTCCGGAGCAGTATTTGTTTCTCTTCTTGTATTTAAAGTGTAAACGCTGGATACTAGATTAGGAACTCTCAATGCTTTTCTCTAAATTCAGTGGCAGTTTGGGAATTTATTAAACATTCTCTCAAGTGCTAACTCTCACTTGGTACTAAAATAAGCAGTATGTGTCCACTGTCCTGTGATTGTCTGACACCACTTCATGTTATTCGTGTATTCTGCTACCTTGTTTACAGATATGATGCAAGCTGAAGAGCATGTCTTCAGTGGTTTTTTACCCTGTTTTCTCTTTGTAGTTTCTGTCAATATCAAATTTATTAGATCTTTGGCCTGAGGTTCAGCGCTAACCAGGGATACTCATTGCAAAGCTGTTTCTTTGTCCACACTGTTTTAGTTTGAACGTGTTTCTAGCTGGTTTTCTTCCCTGAAATATTTGTATGTATGTTTTCCTATATCTTTCTTAATTGATACATTCCAACTTCTCCCATCGTTAGTCTATTGTAGGCCTAACACTCCTATTTCCTCTTTAGCATGAATTTCCCACCCACCCCACTGGATTAGATTTTAAATACCACTTTAACTCTGTTTTATCTGCTGAAGTGCTGGTATCACCAGTGAACCTGGGCAGTAGGGATGTTGATCCCACTCTACTACACCTCCTATTTTACATTGGGCTTAATGTCATGCACTTTAGGCCTGAAAGAAGAGGGGTACCTATTCTGCTGCTTAATTATAGAAATGTTTGCATGAGCTAAGTCATCATTACTAAAGCTGAGCTGTATTTCTATGAGAGTATTCACTGTTATTTTCTAATATAACATGTATTTAGATATACACAAGGATCCTTTCCAAATAAGGGATTTTGAAAGAATGCCAACTTCCTGCAGCCTTCTGCTATTCTCTCCTACTATCACAGTGCTTCCTGGTAATGTGTGATTTTATGTGACTCAGACCACTTTGCCTACATATTGTGGAAATAAAAATGCTTCAATTTTTATTGATCTGTAGTAGAGTGAATTCTATGCCAGCAGTATCAGCAAATTCTTTTCTTCTAGACATCAAAACTTTCAGAGATTTGTATCTGAACAGGATCTTTTTCCAGTCAGTAAATAGAATATGAATGTGTTTCACTGATGACTTTAAACAGTCAAATCATTTTTTGTGTTCTAGAACTTTGCAAAGCAGAGATTGTATATTGCAGCTCTCTCACAGTATTGAGAGAACTCTTATTATTCAGTTTTTTCAAGGCTTTTTACTGTCCTTTTCCCAGGAATCTCAAGATGAATCAGCACTTCTGTGGCTGGATGAAATACAAAGAGGAATCAATGACAGCAATAACAACATAAAAGAAGCAGCAGCCTGTAAGCATTAAACCTGCATCTCCACTGCTCTTGTTTTTCTTGGTCTTGGGAAAATGAAATTAGTAATTTACATTTTCCACTTCAGGGAAGGTGCAAGCCTTTAAATACATGAAAAGAAATTAGTGTGTGCTCTTTGTCATACTAAAACTGAGATGACTTAAAACTACAGGAGTGGTGTTAGTCCTATCTAAAGTGGTAATCTTTAAGGTGTGGCTAATAATTCAACAGGTTTGGTTATACAGGTTTACATCATGACCAATCTATCTAATGTCACTGTATCTTCATGAAACTCCTGAAATATATGAATGAGAATATGAGTTGTTTTGCTATATTTACAGTTAAAATCTTTATGCATATTTTAAGGGAAAATTTTTATGTTTACAACTTTGCTTATTCATATTTCTTTCTATTGTCTTTTATGGATTGCTGACAAACAAAAATCAAGAATATATTAACTTTTAAAGCAGTGTACAAGGAATGCCAACTCTTTTTGAAAAGTATATGCTCTTCCAATCTGTAAGGAAGAGGAAATCTGTAGGAAAAATGCTGAGGCTAAATCTGTCAGAGTGCTGTGTACTGAATGTACTCAACACCTTTTGTCAAAGCTTTGAGTGAACATAATAATTATAGAAAAAAATATTCATGGTACGTAATAAACTTTGGCAAGCAAAGTAGCAGCAAGCACCAGTGGGTTTATGGGGCAGGTTGGAGAGCATGGCGATGTGCCTGCCCGTTCCAGACCAGGCCAGCACAGACAAGGCAGGGGGTGTTGGTCAGCCTTCTGCTCCCCTTGGCTGTGGTGAGTCAGTGCTGCTTTCTGTTGCACCTCTGGAGCTGGTGAATGCGAGTGCAGCATTCCTGCAGTGCTGTGCTCAGCCGTGCCCTGTGCCGTGAGCCCACAGGCACGCCAGGAGTTACTGCTTGGGAAGGGGTGGGTGGAAGAGAACACAGATGGACACCACAAATAGCTATCCCTGCTACAGGAACGTTGCATTTTGTGTTACTGTAACTTCGGAAATTATTTAAACAACTAATATCCTCACATAACAAGGCAGATACACTGAAGATAGGTGAAGTATTTTTGTAGGTCACACATCCATAGAAAGCACTGGGCTTGTGTTTTCTGAGAGAGGGTCAGATACACACACATGGTCTCAACCAAGCTTTTGTACTGAGGGAGTGCTGATACCTTCTTTTGTGGAAAAACCTGCTTCCCATGAATGCCACCCAGAGCCATGAGGAAACATGAGCTCATAGAAGGGAAGGAAACACGTAGCTTATAAACAGATTCGAGTTAAACCTAAAGAGCAACTTAAAAATTCCCTCATTAGTGTTCACTGGAGTAAAAGCATTAAGAATATGTATCGTAAGCACCCTGCAGAAATTAGGATAGCATAATTCATACAGCAATACCATACAATGTTGCTAATGGTAAATCACTGGTCCATCCACTACCTAGTTGTTGTACTAAAATCTTTTCTTATAATCTGTGTTGGTAGTGAATGCACAGCTTTTCACAATCAAGGATGCTCAGTGGAACTGTTTTAACATTTCACTTTTAGGAAAAAAAACTAATTTTGTGTACTCTGCCCGGTGAGTTAAAAAGAAGCACTGTCATCACAGGGCATTCATTCTTGAAGAGCTCTAAAGTTTTGCAACTAAAACCTGAGATTTAACATTCCCCCACAGCACAGAACCTGATGCTTCCTATAACCAACACATCCTGTCTCAGGAAGTTTGCATGTTGTGTTCATGTAGTCTAAACTTAAAGTTCAGCTTGATCACCACTTAGAAAGGAACTTTTTTTGATCTATCACAGAGGCACTATTTTTGAAAGGAAAACAGCACCAAAACTTTCACAAGGTAGTCAAAGATGTATTTTTCAGTTTAAAAAGTGGTTTTGAGATTCCTGCAGTAATGGCAATAAAATAAGAGAAGATACTGGCAGTGGTACTGAAACAGTCCTGATCACTTCCAAACTAACTTCTATGTCTTATATAAATACTAAATGGTACATTACTAAAATTTTGAAAGGCTTTTACAGTCATCCGTGTCAGTAAAGGACTTCTTCTACCTTTATTTAGGAAGAAGTGTTCAGTAAGTGCTGGTGCACTTCCTAACTTCTTGTGATGCTTGCTCTGTGTTTTGCATCACCTTGCTTCACTTCTTTAATGAGTTCAACCATTGTACTTCTTATCTAAGTGGAGGACAAAAAGAGATCAGCCAAATATCAGCTGTATAGCCTTCAGGAGTAGATTTGAAGACTGACTTCAGTCTTGCACAGGAAGAGTCTGTCAAAGCAGGAAGTCTGTGTGTCCTGAGAGAGTCCAAGTTATAGAAAAAAGCTGATCTTTGGCCTTGTTGAGAGTTCAGGCTTATCACGCCAGACAACTGTGGCTTTGTATATCGCAGCTGTTTAAAAGGGAGGATGGGTGTGGAAAAAAGCCCTTTGCAGTGTTGATCTGGTACTGGCATCCTAACTGCTAGAGAAGCAGACTGGAGCTGACAGTTTTCTGGTAGTTGGGGATGCCTAACTCCCAGGAATCTTATGATTTTTCAGGGTCCAAATGGCCTTGCTCTAGAGCAACAGCCACAGTATTAATTGCTAGCTCTTGAAACAAAAGGAATGATTTCTGCTGAGTTGAGTTTTTTTCCCTGATAAATACTTTTCTTACCTTTTCCTTCAAAAATACAAACATTATTAATTAAAGCTTAAGTTGCATTTTCTTTTGTCTTTGTAAAAATAACTTCCAGCACTCTTACTACATGACAAAAAGGAGCAAGGAAAGCATTCAAATACTGCTGAACAGAGTTGATGAGGCATATGGGACTGTGTATGAGCCTGGGGCCAGCAGTGGCCAGCTGTAATGTGTGGCTTCCCAGTTTTTTTCTG